TTTTTTGAGCAAAACATTTCTATATTACCAATGGAAAAGCTTAGACTGTTGATGACTCTTTGAATATTTTGAATTGAGCATTATCAGAGATGTCGAACACTGTTTTTATTGTATTTACCTGAGTTTCTTTATTAGCCAGTCATTCATTAAAAGTCGTAAGAGAAAGAACATGGTCCCTTGAGAAACCAAAGCCACAAACATTGCACCTAGTTTATCCATCTCAAAGGTTTCGCTTGGGTATTCCACTCCATATGCTTTTAAGAAGTCTAGGACTGACTGTTGTTGAGAAAGTTCAATCAAACCGTAACCAAAACAGAATTGTGGGAAAATCAGGAAAATGCGCTTGAGGGTTTCAGAAATAAGTTCTAAAGTCTGAAATAAGAAGAATAAAAATAAAGCTCAGTGTTAGTCTTCCAACAAACTGACAAAAACTGAAACTAGACATAGACAAATGTTGAGATCCAAGAAGCCTATCTAGATAGGCAATTATTGCATATGCATGCTGAATTTACATATAAACATTTACTACAACCAAATGATGGAGATTTATTACTAAAATCCAAGCAAAAGAGGATTATATATTTTTTGAGATGGTCTAAGGTGTCAGGCCAAACCCTGGGTGCAGAATCACTTCTAGAGCTGCCTTAGATCCTAGGAATGTAGTAATAGCCAGGGTGTTGGGGTCTGACACAGAGTATCTACAGGTAGGTGTCTGAGTAAAGGAGGTATTTAGCACAGTAACGTTTCAGAAGCTAAGCTACTCAAAGGGGGGCTAAAATGGTGAAATGAGATGGAAGGAGAGACAACCTCTCTGAATGAGGAGCAAATGGCTCATTTTCATGTTATTCACACTTGGGACCAACCATTTGCACCTCATGAATTTTCTTCTTCCTCCTGGCGTGTGCTTGCCTTTTCCTCACTTCACTTCATTTCCTCTCTATTCTTTTCTACCCAATTGCCTGGCACGGGTAGTGCTTCCCTCCTCAGTAATCATAATCGCCAGCTCTGAATGGAAAGTGATGCTTACAATGAAGTAGACTCCAATACATGATTGAAAGGGAATGAATTCGTTTTTCTTTCTCTATGGACGTTCAAATGACTCTTAACCCATAGTTGTATGACTAAGCCATTGTCCTTGTTCCTACTGTACCATAACAGTTTCTTAAGAAGTAAAAAGTTTAGCTGACTGACTAGTTGCATGATTTTTGTTAGTGCCATACAATGTGTCTGATTTCACCTCCATGCCCCTACTCAAGCCCTGTCAAATCTCAACAGTTTTGACACTGCATAAATACAATCATAGATAACCTAGATGGAGTCTAAAAAGAACTTTAAAAGGCTGTAGTTTCCCCCCACCACTAAATTTAATAGAATCAAATGAAATTCCTCTATTTTATTTAGAGAATGCAAAACACGGAAAGCCTACCTCCTTGAACATGTTTAAGCATTTGATCCACTCACTGAAGTTTAGCAGACTAATAAAAGACCTTACCGGATCATTAGGCCTTTCCTTGGAGAGAAAGTACACCACCGACAGGGAAACAATGGAATTGATGCCAAAAAATAGGTTGATGCAAACGTAAGTGATGAAAGCCATTCCTGTTTCATGAAAGAGTCCAGCCAGCAAGTACATCCAAGAAAATGTGGCATACCTTTATGTTAATAATACTAAGAATTAAAATTATGCCTTAATTATTCTTATACTAAATAAACAGACATATATATATATAACTTAGATAGTGTTCTAAAGTGAAAATAAACATTAGGGATGAGTTGCCAAGCCTTATAATTAAATCTCTCTTTTATTCCTCCTTTTAACAACAGCACATACACATGCACACACACACACACACACACACAAAATCCAAAGCATGCTTTTTAAATGACAGTAAAGGTCTTTTAAGGAATCTTCAGTAGTCTGACATCATTACGACTATAAATTAATTTTTCCTAGAGATGATGTTACACCACCAAAGCAAGACTTTTTTTCCTTTGCTCAGAAATATGAGTTTAATCAATGTATATTTTACAATTTAAAGCTGAGGGAAAAAATGACATTATTGTAGGCTAGCCAAGCAGACAGTGTATGCTTAGAAGGTGGATGTCCTGTTTTCAGCAAATACCTGAGCAACCTTTGAGGTAATGAAGTAGAACTAGACACAGATCCTTCATCAGCTACAATTGCTAACTAAACGGATACTACTCATGCATTCAGGGCAGAAGGAAGTGCTATGCTAAGCATTGCTTATATCAACGTATTACCTGCATTAAGTACCCTCATTCAGAAACAATATTATATATGTGTTCTTAGACATCTATAAAAATATAAATAAAATAAATATACATAAATATATACTTTAAAATGCCATATATTTATATATACTCACAATTTGTTAATAAATTCATACATATACACACATTTTTCTGATCATTCTAAAGCCTCCATTTTTATGTAAATTAGATTACATTTATAAATTGCTAAGCGTGACACTCAGCACCTAGTAAGTGCTCATTAATGATAGGTATTACTATTAATGAGAACAACATTAATTTTCAGAAGTACTATACAAACTATGGACTAGCAAATGTAATGTACTGTTAATCATCACTTATGACTAATGAAACCCCAAGACAACTGTAAATTAGCTAATGAGATTTAGGTCCTGTTTGTGTCCAGCAGCATTTAATTCTGTTAATTCTTCTTTCACTGCAGCTTACCCAAACAGCAGAAGTAGGAGAGATACAGCGCCTAGGTTGTTTTCACTGTAGAAAGCAGGTAACTTGAAAATTGCAATGACACCAATTGAAAATGCTACAGGCACCAAGTAGAAGACCTATGGGAACATGTAAAACAATGTTTAACATATGGCAAGTAGTTTTTAAAAAAATCAATAGCCTATCTAGTTTAAAACTGTTAACAAATTAACCTGGAAACACTTGACAATACGAATTTTTATCTATGTTCCTGTTGCTTATAACGTTCAGTTCATTTTACATTGATTTCACTCTAGAATTCGTCTCCTCCAGTATGAGGTCAAGCCAGTCTCCATCGTTATAGAGATACAGAGTCCCTGGCATTCCTGCTTCCAGGCTTTGCAACCTGGGATCATTTGGGGACAGAGATTCACTGAGAAAGATAAGATAGCCAGGTATCTTGGTATTAGTTAGATTCAGTCCTCAAAGTATTGACTGTGAATGCTGGAACTCTCTCAGATGGTTGACTTCTAAGGCTTGGTTATCAGTGTGAGCCACTCTGTGCAAAACAGCAGGGCAGTGGGTGCCACACATTCTTAGAATCACAAGGATATGAAAGAAGACTTCAGTGTTTCATTAGCAAGCAGAAATATTAAATGCTGCGGAGTCTGCAGCAAGATGCACACAATGAAAGAGACGGTAATTTAATTTGGGAGGAAAATCTCCTAAAATTGTAATGAGCACCAGATATATAATAACAGAATCTAAGTAGTAAGTAGTCCTTCACAGAAGTGTGTACTTTAAGCTTTCTTAACACGTGAAAGCTCCCATTAAGTCCAGAGAAATTATTATCATTCTTTTAGATTTGACTTCTACAAACAAACGCATTTCAGACCTCACTGGATACATTAACCAAACGGATCTGCAGTTAATTACTCTCCAATTCTTCAAGCCATTGGTCTTTACAGAAACTCAGACAATTTCACCATAATCACCAGGCAACTACATACTTATCCTGGGCTTCTGGCCAATACTGGCACATTTGGAGTCAAGAAAAACCATCTGAACTTAGGAACCATCTTATGCAAATAAGACAGCTATCAATGAAATTCACCCTTTATTTTCCCAATTAATCTTCTCTAATGTGTCATTCAGCAGGGGCTACTACCTCAAATTTTTCACTATTGGTTGATTAAATTTTTATAAGCTTGATTATTTGTTATCATTGGACAAGGCTATTCTGCTTCTAAGCTACTATTTCTTCACAGTGGTGGTTCTTAAACTTCGGTGTGCTTAAAGTAACTTGGGGAAGGGGTTGTTAAAAATGCACATTCTCCAGTCTCCACTCCCAAGATATGGATCTCATAGGTCTGGACTGGCGCCTAGGAATCGACATTTTAACAAATGTCCTGGGGAATCTGATACAGGAGGTCCTCAGACCACAGAGATAAGGGCAGGGAAGGTGGATTTTTCTTTTCCTCCAACCACTGGATGCAAACTTTTTTCCTTAATTTACTGTCTTTGTGGTAATAATCTGAACAAACCAGGGTCAATAAATCTCAAATATAAAACTGTCTTCTACCTAAATCAGTGCTGTCTTTCCTGCAAAGACATAAGTTACTCACCATGTCATAAATGAAGTTTGTTACCCAGTAGCATGTGACTCCAACACCTGAAATGTGCTGTAGCTGTTTGGCTTTGGTCTGATGCTCCCGTACGATGTAGGTGACAAAGCTGGCAGTGGTGACAGAGTAGCCCATCAGGATGGAGAGTGCCACTAAAATATCGATTAAACTGCTCATTCTAGAGTGAGCAATAGGGAGAGGAGAGCACACGTAAGTTTTTCGAACTCTTTTCCTTTCAGAAAGATTCATGGCTAAAGCCGCCAACAAAACAGTGCAAGAGATGCATAAGTCTTTCTGCAAGGCAGCCAGATAATATCTTCTACCTGACTCGGCTGTGACCTTGGGATAAATGTAGCTCTAGTGCATCTGAATTGACTAGGGATATTTGATAGAAAAACCTCAGTCTCCAAGGGTTGCAGGGTGTATGCAAGAGATATATAGTTCTTGAGCATAGAAATCGTACTTAAATGCTATGCAGGGAAGTTGAAATGATGAAGCACTTATGCACCTGACTTATAAAAGTGGCAGATTCTGTGAATCTATAGGCAACAAGCCCTGCTTGGCAACTCCACTCTACATGCTTTCAGAAACTTCCTTTCATCCCAGTCAGCGACTTATATTAACAGCTCTTCTAGATTGACATTCATTCAGATACAACTGTGATTTCCAATTATAGCACCTTATACAGAGGCTCAGCTATGCCAAGGAGAAAGCAGCCATGCCAGACATATCTGCTTACGTGGCTTGTTCTTGGTCTTGCACTCCTGGATAAGGATGACTATACATGATGATACCTTAAAGAAGAGACAATTCTTTTCATTAGCAGGTATTCAGTTAATCAGAAACGCCAATTTTTAGATGAATAATGCATAATACTTTCTAAAGAATTTTACTTTGGGTATATTCTCTTAAAGGGAAGTGATTCCTTCCTGCCCATCTCATCAATGCCGTAAAATTGATGGCACTGACACACACACAAAAAGAACAGTTTTTCACATTGTGTATGGAATTCGGGGGGAAGGGGCAAGAATTTTTACTTCTTACACAGTATGTTTCCCCTCTATTGCATTTAAGTAAATTGTTTTCCATTTTCTTCTCCCCATCTGGTCACACGTAGGTTTGTATTCAGCAGTACTTTAGAAATGTATGGCATTTAAAGCAGCAACTCAAAGAGAGTCCATATAATCCTCCGATCACATGAGGCTCTCCTAGAGAACACTTTCCAGCCCCATCCCTCTTTACTGTGCTATTGGCTGCAGTAGGGAAATACTGTAGCCTGAGAGGATCCCTTCTTCTTTATTGCTTCTAAAATGCTTACTGTTCTAGAACTCTACCAACAGTAGAGCTTGGGAGTTTCAGCCACCCCAGAGGGATTTTCACTGACACATAAAGATCCAGGAGAATTCAGAGAAACTAACTGGTTCCAGAGAAGCAGTCCTTTAATTCCAATACAGTCCTAAATTATTTATGTCTCCTAGGGTTGGTTATACTTTCTGAGTTAGAAGTAAGTTTCTTTCCTCCCTTTCCTTAGAGCATGCTGGTTATCCAAAGTGGGCTGGCGAGTTTCCCAAAGGACCATGGTTTTGAGGCAAAGCTTATACTGTCTGAAAAACTTTGGAAAAGAACAGTAGGGGATAAGAGTGAGGATATCCTTTAAATAATTTTTCCTGTAGAGTCATTAGCTGAGCAAGAACTTTGTCACTTACTGCTCAATCAGTATATGTTCATTAGACTGGGTTATTAAGGCCCGCTCACAGCACTCAAATATTATAGGCTATTCTAAAGTTCTGTTCTTTCCATTAACTTAAATTTATACTTTTTATTAAGTAGAGTAAGACATATTTTGAGGTCAAATTCTGCAATTGTTATACATTGAAGAAAAATATATAGTTAAAGCAAAACAAAGAAACTAACAGCAACAATAATCAATTTGACTAACTTTAACCACATCACTGGGGGAATGCAGTTTTCTTATCTTTTGTGGAAATTAATAAACTCTCTTTTTACTGAGATTCACTTTTCCTTGGGCCCTACTTAAACCTTGTTGCTGGGTTATAATGTAGGCAAGGGGAAAACATTTCTCTTATTCCTGCTTTGTACTTCAGAATCCATAAATACTCTATTTCACCAGAGGAATCTTCACAAATATTTACTCGAATATGAAAAATGCTGCTGAACCAGTTTTTTAAGTACATATCTTTAGCTGAAATATCAAGTAAATGTATTAGGGTTTAGAATCTATATCACAGTCTTCTCTGTGGGTTCTATGGCATTCAGTATAATGTCTTGAGTACAGGGATTAGTTAATGAATGCTTATTGAATCTAATAAAATCTTAAAAAATTCCAATTATTTCCCCACATACAACATACATTAAAAAGAACATATTTTCTGTTGTCTCTACACTTGTAAACCTAAAATGAGTAACTTCCCACTGACCATTGCTACTAATGCAATAAGAATAAACTCTAGAGTGGAGCGAACAATGCGTCAATATTTTTGGAAAAGAGCCTAGTTGTGTAACATTTGTTACCGAAAACAAGTAAATCTGTATTCTTTGGGGAGAAGGAACAAAATTTTCATGTTAAATTTACCACTAGAGGGAACCACATGAATATAACAGACATTGACACTGCAAAGGAAAGCTAATTAAAAGATTCTGATTAGCACGTTAAAATTCAAAGAGAATTAATTTTATAGCTAAAGCAAAATCTCAATTCATGTAGAATCCAACAAAGATGCCTTAAAACACTAGTGTAGTAGGGGGACGTGACAGGAGAATAATTTTTTAGAAACATTATCGTGGCAGATCCCATACATGCATTACAAAAAAAATAAAAGTATTTTAAGGTGGCTTGGATTTCTTCTTTGAAAGAAAACAAACTCCTTCCAGAGAGAGTGGAAAGCTATCACTTTCATAGTTTTACACGAGAAAAGTTAATAAAAAACAGAAGGTCACTATTACTAATCTCTATATAACTCAAACTAAGTCTTATTTTTCAATTAAAAAATTTCCTTCTAGGGTCAATTTTAAGATTATGTTCCAGAATTTTTAATTCTTTAGACTCTGTAACTTAAAAATATAGTTGTAGGGGCCACGGCAAGACTGCTGAGGTCCAGTGTGATTCAGATTGCTTTGGTCTTGGTAAAGAACACAAATAGTAAATGAAATCCAAACACAGGTTTCAAAAGTTGACCCTTCAAAAGTGGTACTGGTCTCTTTTTCTCACCTACATACCTTTGCGACATGTCATTTCTATAGTTCTTATACTTTCATTATCTGTTACGGCAACAAATGTCTTTTGCTCTGAGTAAGACATCCTACTGAAAGTCAAGTATTCTGTTGTATTTCAAACCAGCTCATACTAGACCTACCTGGCTTTAGTCACCATTTAACTTAGCTTACTACTTTTGACTACACTCTTTATTGATGCTCTAGATCTAAGGACTATCTATCAACCTTGTTATTTTCTTCATGGTTCCTGCTGCTAGGACTATGTCAAAGCAGTTGGGGAAAAATACTGTTTTCTCTGAAATGAAGACTCCAAAAGCTTCTGTTCCTAGAATGAGTATCTGAGTCTACAGTTTACGTCTATAACCACCAGAATATCTAGCACAAGCTATTATGCCCAACGGTAGGGAGATGAAAGACAAGAAGATGCCGGCATTTCTAAAAAATATGTTGTCTTTTTCCTTTTTAACAGTCTATTGGTTGGACTATTTATTAGGCTAGAAACTCAGTGCTGGCCAGCATATATGTTACATAGTTTTTCTCCATTTTTATTATTATAGTTTTGGGGAATCTGAGAAAATAATTTGAGCAAGGCTTAAGAAGATGAAATGATCTGATGAAGAGCAACTGAATTAGAAAAAAAAATCAGTCTCTTTCAGGTTTCAAATACTTTTTGAAAACTATGTGGAAGCTTCCTGAGAAATCTCACTAAAGTAGACCTGGCTGAGCATAGAGAAGAATTAGAAAAATAAAGAGACAGGAGTCAAACAGACCTGGGTTCAAATCCCACTTCTGATCCCCAGTGGAATAACAGTAGGGAACAATAATATTCATCCTGAGAGGGTGCTAAGAATTAGCAATATTTTATACAAAGCAAGAGTCATACAGTAAGTACTCAATTAATGGTAATACTTCTGGTTAGGTGTAGAACTTTTTAGTTTAAAAATTTTGTTTTCACATTTAGATTTGTGTACAATATTTATTGACTTTTTTAATTTTTAGCCTATGTACAAACAAGTAGTTATAAAATATTTTCCTATGAGATATAAATACTAGCTGTAAGAGCAGAAATAAGTGTGAAGTCAGCATTAGCATCTTGATTTGATAGATGAGGAAACTAAATTAACCTGAAGTTGAGGAGATTATCCAGAATGTTCCATCTGGCGGTAGTTACTACGTCCAAATTCCTTTTAAAGATCTATGATTTAAATACCATAAAACAGCTGCCTCTGGGAGGAAACAAGATCTAGCGTGCATTTTTATATGGAGAGCAGCAAAAGTTGCAAAGCAAGAAGCTTCTGTGTAAGTAACTTTACCATGTCGGGCAGCATCGTATTTTGACATGTTAACTCGCAGGAGGAAGTTATTCAGGCTGTTGAGATAAGCTGGGAGGGAGTGATAGCCTTCTGGATCATACCATACCTGTTAAATTCCAAAAGAGGGCAAGATAAGTTTGGTGTACAAATAAATTAAGCAGTTTTTCTATCTTACAGCCTACAGAATTTATATTTAAAGTAAGTGCACCCATTTTCTGGTGCTTATTTCATCCTGGAAGATAATGAACCATCCCCCAGAGTGCTGACCATAGACCTTTAGGTTTCCAATGTAGAGACTGGCACAGGTTGGGAAAACTGTCTTTTTTTTTTTCCTTACATGATAGTACCAAGTTATTAATCATCCCAGATCTTCTCTACAGGTAAAGCTTGAAAAACTGAAGAAATCATTATTATCTTCATCTCTGTAACTGGCCTATAGTGATTTTGGAACTAGAACTAAGGCATTCTGTCTCTCGATAATAATAATAACAATAAAAGCAAATGACATATAGGCCAGGCTGCAGAAAGAAATTAAATACATCTCCAAGCATCAAGTCCTTAGCAACAAGACTGATGACCTCGGAATCCCCCCACTAACTTTCTATTCCTAGTTATAATCCACAAGAAAGTGAGCTACTTTACCCATATCAAAAGCAGAGAGATTTAAAATACCTCAGTTCAAGGAACATAGTTGATCAAAATTACAAATCTGATTTAGAGAGAAATTATTTAATATTAGAACCCTTTCCCTTACGAGGGATATTTACTCTCCGTATGGAGAAAGGGAGAAAAGGAACAATGGGAGGGGCCATTCAAATCCTCAGCACTGCTATTTGTTTTATATGACCTTGTAAAAACCAGCTACACGAGACTCATTAATCTCTCTCTCATAGGGATATTGTAAGGATGAAATTACATAGTTTGTGTAAAAGGTGATACTAGTGCTTGGTTTATAACAGTCACCAAATGAATATTAGTTTCTTCACTTTCCCCAAGGTTGCATATGTCTCTTAATACCAAATGAGAAATTTGTGAAGAATAATCTAAAATTTAAAGACTACTCGTGATCCTATGGGTAATTATATGTGTCCGATTCTGTGACTCTAGCTTGTTTCAAATTCAAAGCATAGGTACAATCAACAGGATTATTGACATCCATCAAATTCTGTTAAGTTTCCATGTTCTTTAAAAAGCAAGGATAAACATATATGACACATATATAAAGAAAAATGCATAAAACATAAATGTATAGTTTAACAAAAAGTATAAAAGGAGTACACCCAACCCACAGGTTGAGAAACAAAACTTGCCAGCACCCAGAACATCTTCTCCCTGACACACTATGTCCTTCACAATCACAATGCTCTCTCCCCTAGACAGTATGGTTGGGTTTTGTCTACTCTCAAAGTTTATAGTAAATGCAATTTCCCCGTATGCTTACTGATAATGTTTGGGAGATTTAGCCTGCTTGTTGTACGGAACTGAGTTCCTTCATTTCCATTGCCAATTCTATTGAATGACTATATAACAATTTATTCATTTATTTAATAGTGTATGGACATTTGCGGTTGTGCTTTTGACTAATGTGAGAAATACTATTATGTATATTTTTGTATATGTATCTGGGTACTTACATGTACATGTTTCCTTAGGATAAATACATAAAACCAGAACTGTTGTATTAGGGAGTGTGCATTATTCCAAAGTGCTTTTCAAATTGATTGGCCCATGTTTTGTTTTTACCTCATGAAAATGCTTGACCGTTTCAAGTTCACATTCTCATTTGCATGACATCCTAAAAGAAGGATCATAATTTACCTTGGCAAGTGTTCTATTAGCAGGAACTGTTGTTATATCAAAACGAAGGTCTTTAGTCAAAGGCAGCCCAAAACTCCAACCTCCATATCTATACAGAAAAATTGATACTTGTTTTAATAGAGAAAATATTCATAAATAGATGTAAAATGTTTAACTCATAGCTCATTTTTTCTTTCCATTAGAAACACATTTACAATACGTAATAAATACTGCCTGACAAATATTTTACAGTTTTACTGATTCTTTTTATCATATTTTAATCTATAGAGTACATTATAACTAGAAGTAAAAAGTCTTTCTAAGCAGTTACAGATGTAATCATTCTGAAAATAAATAACATGTAATCTAGTCAATTTCTCCAACTTGACCGGATCATGCACCATCTCAAAAATCTTAAGATTTTAGTGCTTAAGTATCTTATTTTAGGTAATTTAATACTAAAGTGATAACAACATCAGTTACAATCTTTTTTCAAATGGCTCCATTTCCTTTATTCTCCGATCTTTTTTCTCTAGTTTGTCCCCTAGTGTTACACTTTTTCAATTCCTGGATGTTTTAAAGAGAGTTCTATCTATATAATTACCTGTCACTTCATGGACTCTGAAAAATAAAAGGTGGATTTAAAAAAAAATCCAAGCACTAATTTTAAGGATAGATTAGTTTAAATGTCCACCAGATTAAGACTGGGTTAAATAAAAAACAGTGTAGTCACACTAAAATAATTTTCTTGTGACTATTATCCTAAATGTGATGCTATAGAACCGTATTTTTGTCATGCAAAGAACAGTATAGCATATTGTTCACTTCTTTTTAAAAAAGGGTTTAGAATGGTTTATTTATAATAAACCTTATTTTGTTGAAAATACTTACATGTATATTCACATGTATTTACCAACTTTCCCCCCTCAGCTTTATTAAGATATAATTGACAAATAAAAGGTGTATACATTTAAGGCATACAAATGTTTTGATACATGTATACACTGTGAAATGGTCACCACGATCAAGCTAAATAACATATCCATTATCTCACATGGTTACCATTTTCTTGTATACGTGTGTTGAGAATTCTTGGCAAATTTCAAGTGACAATACGATATTGTTAACTATAGTCTCACTGCTGTATAGATCTCCAGAATGTATTCCCCTTGCATTACTGAAACTTTGTTCCCCTCGACCAACATCTCCCCATTTCCCCTACCCCCAGACCCTGGCAACCATCACTCTCCTCTCTGCTTCTATGAATTGACTATTTTGGATTCCATACATAGGTGATACTATGCAATATTTGTCTTTCTGTGTCTAGCTTATTTCACTTAGCGTAGTGTCTTCCAGTCCACCCATGTTGTGTCAGATGCAAGCCTGCCAACCTTACATCTATGGCAAATGTTTAGGTGACTTAGGTGGAAGCCTGTGGCCTTGCTGTACATGGACACATTTTATTCATATGTGGATATATCTACATTGAGATATTCATGTTGGAACTAAGGACAATTGTCACTGAAAACCATGCCTGAAAGCTCTCCAAGTTGGCGTAATCTAGTCGATAACTTGTCTTTTGCTTAGAGGAAAACGATATGTACACATTTAACAATACATTTTTGAGGCGTAAAACAATGCTTTTTTGAATGTGCTCAGATAAATCTTAGAATCATTATTTAAATTTTAATATGAAAGCTGTTTAAATAAAACAGAATTTAGCCCCATAAATAATCAATAGAAGCTCTGCATTTATTGCCACAAATTCAAAAGGCAGTTACTATTAAAATTCGAAAGCAAGATATTCTAAATTAAATATGTTTAATAAATAGAGTATTTTTACCTTTTTTGTGTAAACTCATTAGCAGTTGATATAAGATAATTTTCCAAGTGTTGCCCAGTGAGGTTATAAATTACATGGGAAGAATAAGTTCTTCTATGAGGTGGAGAATAGTTAAATTTAGGACATTCCTGAAAAATAAGGTTAAAAATTAAGTTCTTTCTTTCAGTGCTGTACAAAGTAAATACACAATGTCAAGGAGCTTCAGTCTCAGGATTTGTCTATTAGTGCAACTGGTAGAGTGTGATAAGAGTGTCCTCTGCCTCTAAAGAGATTTGAAAAGGAAGTCATCTTTCCTATGCCAAGAAATTAAAACAAATAGTTATCAATTATATACAGCACATATATGTGTTTAGGACTTGCCTAAAGCCAAAGAAGAACACATTAACTAATGTTCCGTATTTCTTTCACTGCACTGACAAGCTTGATATGTTTGGAGAATAACATTAAACATTAAGATGACTCAAAATTCCCTCAATAATTCACAGGGAAGAGAAAAATGTTTGCCCCACACTGAAAAGATAACATTAACAGACATAAGTTTCCAGGGACTGAAAGCAGCGGATGAAAAGTTGTGTTATATTAGATTTAAGGTACAAAACCTAGGTGTCAGAGTTCAGCTTTACACATAAATAAATCTAATATACACACACATACACACACACACACACATATATACATATATAAATCTAGTATGTGTGTGTGTGTATATATATATATATGTATATATGTTGCTTATACATACATAAGTTGCAAAGACAATGCACAGAGTGCCTGTATCATTGTTAGCATCTTACGTTAACTGTTGTACGTTTGTCGAGATTAAGTGCCTTGGTACCTTACTATTAAGCAACCTCAGAGCTTAATTTAAACCACTTATTTTTATGTTCATAGCTTTCTGCACTTCCTGACTACTTATGTTTCACTGAAGCTTCTCATGCTTCACTGCCATGCAGTTTAGTTTGAGAAACGCCCAGTACTTTTCCAGTTTCTCCTTACATCTTTCACACGGTGTCTCAGAGCCTGAGACTAGCACCACATGTGTGTATCAAGAGCATAAAGCTGCAGGCTGCTCTAAAAAATGAACGCTGAATTTCACCTTACATCAAGTTGTGTCTATAATGCCAGTGGTTTCATAACTGATTAGAGATACCCTTATATATGCAGTATAACTTTTGAGCCCTAATTTTTTATTGAATTATATTATACATACAGAAAAGCACATATAAGTATACTACTTGATGAATTTTGACAACCTGAACACATCCTGGGAACCAGCAACTGAGTCAGAAAACAGAACGATGTTAGCGCCCCAGGACCCCCTCATAGTGCCTCCTTCCAGTCACTACCTTGCCCAAGTAACTGGCACAGAGGAGTTTTGCCTGTTTTGTATTTTATACAAATGGACTTGTATCTTGTATTTGGCTTTTTTCACTCATCATTTGTTAGTGAGAATATGAGGTATGTAATTGAAGATCAATCTTTCTCATTTTGCTGTGTACAGAATTTCATTGTGGAAACAGACTACATTTGATTATCTACTGTTGGTGGGAATCTGGGTGGCTACTACAAATAGTATAGCTATGAACATTTCGATATATGTGTCTTGGTGCATTTATTCACATTTCTAATGGGTACACAACAGGAATGGAATTGCTGAGTCCACAGGGCATGAATAATTTCAGCATTAGTGGATACTGTCAACACTTTTAAAAACTGTTTACACAAATTTAGATGCCCATCAGCAGAGTATAAGGTTGAAAATTTTTTAATCGACTGTGTTTTTTTAAAAAAAAATCAATAAAATTTATCCAGATTCCAATTTTATTTTGTTTTATTTTTTATATGTATTTTTATTGAAGTATAGTCAGTTTACAATGTTGTGTCAGTTTCAGCACAATGCTTCATACATGAACATATGTATATTCATTTTCATATTCTTTTTTACCATAAGTTACTACAAGATATTGAATACAGTTCACTGCGCTATATAGAATGAAGTTGTTTATCTATTCTATATATATCAGTTAGTATCTGCAAATCTCTAACTCCCAATGTATCCCCTCCACCCCTTCCCCCAGATTCCAATTTTAAAAGTTGACCTTTACTGTGAACTAGAAAAACACATGAAGAATTTCAGATGAGGGATTACAAAACTCTTTGAACTGGCCTAGAAAACTAAGGTGTATCTATAGAATTCAGAAAGGGTGTTGGTTGCACGATCTTTAATAATGTTTCTTTCAGGATATGGATTTTTCTCACATCTTGGAGGTGTTGAGAAGAGACACGGAGTTCTCTCCTGGACTTACACATTACTAACTTCCCTACCGACCACTACAGTAGACGTCTCATTGTGTTTTCAAAAATGACTGTTATGGTGGCATTTTGCTGTGTGAAACATAGAGCTTTCTGGTTACAACTGAACTGAGACCAAAAATTCATTTTCACTTGGTTTCCACAAAGACTGTCATAAAATTACCTACCGTAGGAAGTTTGTCCTGAGAGGGATTTAAAACAGTGACCTAAAGCTCAGTGCTTTTTTCAGCTGTCCAGGTCCACAGCACTAAGCTACTAGCTTCCATAAAATGAAATTATGTTGACTCTTTGGTAACTTAGACAGATCTTTCAAATTTTGATATTTATTCCTTTCTTTTTCCTACTTCACAGAAAGTGAATTCCATCTTACCTGGGTATTTTCTGAGCAGGAACAAACACCAAAATTAGTGATAGGTTCTCCATTGCTGTTCCACTTCCCCAGATGGTTTTTATTTAAACAACTTCTACAAGTAAAAATGATATTGAAGTGAGGAATGTGTGCATTCTCGTGTTTATATAAGAGCATATAAGTGAGTATGTGGTACTAAATTCAGGTGTATAGTCCTAAGTTCAATGTACTGATTTTTCATAACTTGAATATACATTGCACTACAATTTCCAAGTGATCAGACATTTTATGGGGGATTGAAGGAGAGCACTTAATGATTAAACAGTGTTGAGACCAAAGCTCACTGGATTGTGGTAATGTGGCAGGATGGGGCTTTTTTTTAATTGAAGTATAGTCAGTTTACAATGTGTCCATTTTTGGTGTACAGCAAAATATTTCAGTCATACATATACAAGTATTCGTTTTCATATTCTTTATTACTATAGGTTACTGGAAGATATTGAATATAGTTCCCTATGCTATACAGTATAAATTTTATCCATTTTCTATTCAGTAGTTAGTATCTGCAGATCTCAAACTCCCAATTTATCCCTTCCCACCCTCTTCCCCTCCAGTAACCATGTTTGTTTTCTATGTCTGTGAGTCTGTTTCTGTTTTGTAATTAAGTTCATTTGTCTTTTTTTTAGATTCCACATATAAGTGATACCATATGATATTTTTCTTCTCTTTCTGGCTTACTTCAATTAGAATGACAATCTCCAGGTCAAAATGGGGTTTTTTGACCCCTCTATTTTCCTTGCTCTTTTCATCCTCTCCTGTCAGGAAAGGGAAAATTTAGCACCAGTGTCAGGTTTCCACATGTCATGTACTAGCTCGGGAGTTTGAATAAACAACACTACGTAGTACAAAAGCATGCGATAGAAGACGTGGGTCTCAGCTTTATCTACACAACTCACTCTCTAGAATTTAGACAAGTATCTTAGTCCACATGAGCCTGTTTCTTCATCTTAAAATGGGATTAATAATCCACAGGGTGGTTGTGATTGTTAAATGAAAACATGCACACAAACTTTGCAAGTTGTAAAGCACCTGTTCATTATTACAGTAGAGCACAATCATGGAATGAACTAAAGCAGATACATAAAATCTGTTAAAGGTGTTGCCATCACAGTGCTTACCTCCTCCAGCCAAATAACACACACTCACTCACCCACACACCTGCACACACATGCACACATATGCACACACACAAACTGGAATGTTGAGAAAAAAGAAGAAAACAAGAACACTTACTGATTACTAATGTTCAAACACATGTTGTCGATGCCAGGGAAGCTCCACATTGCTGAGACCAGTTCTTTCGTGCTTGGGTGAGAATTTCTATAATAATAAAGGATAGAAACAAATTCATGATTCTTCCACTAGTCTCCCGTATTAAACCCATGTTCAGGAATAATTTGAAGAAATGAAATATGCTGTCTACAGGACTATTTCCTTAAAAATCTAAGAAAGAGACTCAGAAAAAAAAAGGCACAAAAAATAAGCACAGGTCTCTATTTGGTTCCCCTAATTGTCACATGCATTGAGTGATTATCTACTGTATATATTAACAGTATATTATACAGAATTCTGGCATTGCTATCCAATACTCAATAAAAAGTTATTTGCTATATATTACAACAGATTGGGAAGTCATACCTAACCTGGCTTTCCTGATTAAAGTCTAGTCATTAAAAATAAAGATCTCCTATAACTTTATTTTTAGATAGACACAAAAACTCTTAAAAAAGTTATTTGTTGGCGAGAGAAGTGTCATGTTGCAATAAATCAAACTGTCCATTCATCTGGCAGGATAAGGTGCTGGGGCTCCTAAGTTCTTTATTCATTAGCATTTCGTGACATCCATTCAGGCACAAGGCACCTCTGGAGGCATTGCGGTAATGTTTTAGTTAAAGGAAAGAAACTTACGCATAGAAGGCTGTCTGTTCAGAGGTACCATAAAGAGACGGGGAGATCTGGATCTCTGGATAGCTGTCGCTGGAATTTCTCAGAGTGCCAAGGCCCATGGCAGTGGTTACAAAGACGATGGGGAGAATAACCTGAGCTACGAAACCTTTCCAGTTCCTGCGGGTGTGGTGGAACCTTTTAATGAGGATAGCCATTATCTTCTTCAGTAACAGTCCAAAGCCATCCAATCTCTCTCCTCTGGTCAGGATTCTGTCTGATTAAAGAAAGAGAGATGTAATATAGTTCTGGGAAACCTTAGTAAATTAAGTAATAAAGCAACTTCAAAAACTATGGGTGAATGGTATAATGTGACATGGGAGGAAAAACTTATACTGTAAAGATCTACATTTGAGGTTCAGCCCTTCATTGATTAGCCTCGGGCCTGAGCCTCTCCATCTCATGGAGCTTATGCAAAAGTGCTTTGAAAATTATAAATTACTATACACAAAATATTCCCAGTCATATACATAGTAATTTTACACATCGAAGTGAGATATCTAGAATTTTATAAATGAATATTGTCCCCAATCTCCAAAGTCTTAATGTAGACTCAGTATGTATTACTAGTTACTAATATTCAAGAGATAGCTTCTATCGAGAGATTGAATTCAAATAAAATAAATATAAACCCTTTTTAAGCAGCCTAGTTAACTCAGTGGGTAACTTAAGTGACTGTAAGTCTAATTGGCTCTCATTCTAATGTGAGGGCCGATGAAGTCACCTTAAACAAAGGAAAATGCTCTCCTTCAAAGTACAATTCTAGTTCAAACGCTTATTCATTACATTCCTTTTAGAAATTTGGACTGATTATATGGCGTTCCAAAACTCCATTTTTACCACTTGAGTCACAAAAAAGAACTCACTGGAAAAAATGTCTACCCTCCCTCCCCAAAATGCTCTTAGAGTGCTGAGAAAAATTCCACAGCTTCTGAGAGTCAGAGCAGCTGTGGAGGCCATAAGCGGTTGCTCCCGCATTAGTGCTCGTACAACAGATCATTTCAGCAGCCCGCTCTAAAAATAGTCTCAAATATAACATTCTCTCTGAAGGCCTGCCACCAAGCACTCCTTTCCATGTGATAAGATGACAGTATTTGTCAACTCTGTGGATATTTTTAATTCTCCATCACAAATTATGCAGCACAAAAATCATGATCTTCATTTAGCTGATAAGGAAAAATACAAAGCTGCTTAATTTAAAATGAATTCCAATTAAACAGAGTGAACAAGTTTAAATGCAAACTCATATCTCTGCAAAGGTAAAGTGTAGAAGGAGCTGAATATTTTAAGTTAATTAGTATGCTTTTCTGTTTCTTTAGAAATTACATGTGGATGACTTACAGGTGTATCAAATGGAGCAAATGTGCTTTCTAAAAGATAATGTCAATGAGGTCAACATTCTGAATGAAGAATAGTTTCAAATTATGAGACAAATGCAGTGGCAAATACGTAACATTTACTTCCTGAAGCTGATGACCACTCTCTAATCAAAGTCCTCAATTCCATGGACTCGACAGTAACATTCCCAAAAGGTGATCAGGCGGAATCTAGCAGAGGGCAAATGAGACTCCCAAGTTCCAGAATTACACAAGCATCAGAGATGATCTTTTCTGAGATTTAAAGCCAGGCAAACGTTTAATTAAAAGTTCTATTCCTAGAGATTTTCCTCAATTTAAGCAAACTATTGAAATGACTACTCCATAATTTATAAAATGATTTTACCCTGTGCTTCCTTAAGTAAATAGTGTTTCCAAAGGCATAAATTAACTGTTGGAGTAAGAGAAGATAAAAGTTCTTTTCAAAAGAGCCCCACTCCTCAAAGTTGTGTCAAGCAACATAATTTTCCAAATGTATCTTGTGTGAAGAACTGGGGGAAAAAACCTATTATTATAGCTTCTTAGCCATCAAGCCCAACTCATCACTTCAGAGACCCTCACCCAAAAAGCATTTTCTTAGAGCCTGAATTTTCTCAGCGCCTGAATCATTCCGAGGTGGGGGAAGGTTAAACATGTTTTCAAGTGAGGTGCCATGAAGAGCGATGACTCTTAAAAAAAAAAAAAACTTTTTTGATGACTATTACCTCCACTGAACATGTCTACTAGCAGTGAGTGAACTACCTTACAAGGTAACTTTATCCATTGTTGGACAGCACCAATTACAAGAAGGACTTTAACTTGTTGAACACAAATCTGAAGCTGTAGTAAGTTACATCTTGAAAATGACTTCTGGTGGGTAGAAGGAATATTTTTCACTACCCTAACAAGGAAATTCTTTCACATTCTCCAAAATATTTTTGAAATAGAGAATTCAATTTGGTTTAATAAATATTTTGTATATGAAAAAGATAGCTTACATTTCTTCAATATTTTTAAATTTAGAAAGAAAATTTAAAGTTGCATTTAAAAAAATCAAAATCTGTCCTACGATTTTCTTCATTTACATCATTTACTAGAACTAAGCAAAATGTGCACATTAGATTTATACCATCTCTGTCTGTGAAATTGCTGCTGCTCACAGATAAGTCATCAGGTGTCGAGATGCCATTGGTACTGCAATTTCCGATTTTCTTTTGGGTCAAGTGCTCAAGACTCATGCTACTGGTTTTTTGTGACTCTTTAGTCAAGTTCAGGAAGACCTAGAAAGAGAAGCCAGAACACTTTCTTAGCATAAAAATGCACATGTTTTCTAGTTAAGCTCAATTTTGATTTTAAATTTTTACCACATTTATTGTGACAAATGAGTATGAATTTAAGTGAACATATTTGTATGTAAAAGATGGATGTTCTTTAATTGGAGCAACATGTTTGTTCTCAGAAGTCAGTCTTACATAAGAATAGTATTGGGATAATTTGAAGATTTTCTGATTTTGTGAAATGTTTATTTTTTAATTAAAACATTTATTGTAATCAAAAGTATATTTACTTTTGGTTGCATTTACTTCTTGAAGTGTTTATTTTAAAATATTTCTTTTCTTTTTAAAAAGAACTGTTCATATTTATTCTAAGGGAACAGCAAATTATATCAGCTTTAAGAAAAAAGGAAACATCCAGGTGCACCTCTTCCACGGTGGTGTCGGAGATGCCGTAGCACCCGATGCTCAGGTCACCCATGCCGCTGTCCAGGGCTCTCAGGAGTGAGAGGTAGGCCCCAGAGACACTGGTGCTGAATGGAGGAAGCACGTAGACAAGCTCTCCCCCAATGTCCTCCTTGAGGTAGGCTTCAGGGAGGTGTGATCGGATCATTGCTGTCACGGCCGTTGTGTCACACACTGCCCTGGCATTTAGATTTGGACTCTAGACACAAACAGAAGTTGAACACCCCCTTGTCTTAGACTGTAGTGCCCAAGGGCCCCAATCAGAGGGTGGTGAGTTCTTTTAGGCCACCCCAGACCTACGTCAGGTCATGTGTTACTCCCCTTGTGGCTCCCTGTGCCACCGGGGGTCCCTATGGTCATCCACAAGTCACCATTCTGCTGGATCCCCTCTCCCACCTGACCTTGTCCCTCCTCCAGTCCTTACCCACAAAACTCTCTCTCACTCTCATGTGCTCCGCCCAGCAACAACAGACCTTCTGTGGTTAGAGTGCTTTGGGTTCAGACACACCCTCCTCAGGGCCTTTGCACTTACTCCTGTGCCCCAGATATGCCATGGTTCACTCTCTGCCCAGCCCCAACTCTTGGCTCAGCTGTCACTTTCTCAGAGACTCCTTCTCTTGCTACCCTACTTCAAATGGCACCACCCAGCATCTCCCATTCCCCTTCTTTTGCCTTATTTCTACCCATAGCATTTATCACCTGCTACCATACCAAATAATATACTTAGCGATATTACCACCTGGATTCCCCACACTCCATCAGAATATAAACCCTAAGAGGACAGAGATCTTAATGTTGTCAGTTCACTGCTGTATCCCCAGTGCATACAACAGTGTCTAGGGTACATATTAAGACATAATATGCACTGAATACACACACATTTGAATAAATTAATGAATATAACAATGAACTACTTTTGTTTTTTGGAGGTCACATCAAGATGATCAGATATAAAATATATGGCAGTAGTGAAAACCTTTCTAATAGCATATACATCTCGCACAATTCCAATATACATGCTATTTTAGGTGGTACAGGGATCGGTAGTAAGCATTTTTCTTCTTTAAAGCTGTGAAAGCACCGCTGGCCTGAGTTAGTCTTCATGTTGCCATTCGAGGAGTACTGATCAGAAAGGGAATCATGACTGCATATTCTCTTCATTTGCTTTTGATGGATTGCTTGGAGAAGCTAATTTTTAGCCTTACAGCTGAAATGCTAGGAAAACTAACAGGCTGATCCTCCATCAATAACCTTATGGGTCATGTTTCTATCTAACACGTTGGTTCTCAATGTGCAATCCTGGACCATTAACGTAAGCATCACCTGGGACCTTGGTAGAAATGCAGTCAATTCTGGAGCCCCATCCCAGATGGACTGAATCAGAGACTCTTGGGGTGAAGCCAGAAATTTGGGTTTAACCAAGACCTTTAGGTGTTCAGATACTTGCTCAAATTTGAGAAACACGGATCTAACATATTAAAAATGAATTTTAGCAATGAATGAAGTTGGATAGATTCTGCTTCCATTTCATTCAAAAGTTAACTTATGACCCCACGGTGAGATATGTTTTCTCCCCTACAGACCTTTTTCTTAGTGAGTGTCAGGTGATACCCATCCCCAAATGCTTCCTTGAGATAAAATGGTGACCCGCAGCATCGCAGCCCGCCCTGCTCCAAGAAGGCAATGCGGTCGCTCAGCACTTCTGCCTCATCCAAGTGGTGCGTTGACAGAATGATTGTTCTGGCTTGAAAATACAGAGGAGAAAAACCAGAAATGAAAAATGAAGATACAGTTCCCAAGATATACTGAGTCAGCACAAGTAAATCCTATGATTTATGAGGAGAAGAGTCATGTTTTATGAGCTAACTGAAAAACTGATCAGAAGGAGCTTCCAAAACGATCAAAGAGAAATTCACACAAGGTGTTCCTAAATATTTGAGAGTTGGCGACAAATACACATTTATTAACCTGTAAGGTTAAATGTCCATAGTTTGTTGTTGGGGGCAACTCTTCCCAACCTCTTAGTCTGTTCCCTTGGCTTCATTTTCATTCTCTCCCCCTACTCTTTTTCTCTCTCCTTTTTGTCACGACGAAAAAGCGATAATTTTAAAGACTTTTTGAATATTCCTCTCTGATTAATCCACTCCACTCTGATTGCTCCTTTGCTTCACATCCTGTTAGCACTTATTTAGTCTGTTTTCAGTTTATTTTCACTTGTGTATGTTTGGTACCTCTAATTAGATTCTAAGCTCCTCCAGGCAGAATTTGGAACTTCTGTTGGATTTGCATGCTCTCAAAAACGCCAGTTGAGTGCTAAGCTCACAGTGGGCACTACATAGAGATTAACTCATTGATCCAGAAATTTAGCTGGGAGAAGAGTGGACTTGGGCAAAGGAAGAGCCCATCTGAGATATTTAATGGAGATTATAAACAGAAAAGGCTTCAACATGTTTGTGTGCCTCCCAAAGGGCAAAATTATGACTGTTGGTTGGAGAAATCAAAAGAAGGTACCCATACCAGTTTTGTTCTTGGATATAACATCCCATATACTTCTACGAGAGCATGGGTCAACTCCAGTGGATGGTTCATCCAAAATCACCACCCTCGATCCTCCGATAAGAGCTATGGATATGGATAATTTCCTCTTCATTCCTCCAGACAGTGTTCCAACTCTCTTATGACGATGGCTATACAGTCCAGTGTCTTTTAAGGTCCTTCAAAAACATTGTATGGTGGTTATTTTTAACAGACAGAATATTTGAATATTGGAAAAATACAATAAGCACTGTGAAAGGTATTCACTAAGCAACTATTATGTGCTCAGCAAGGTACAATAAACTATTGAAGATCCATGATATAGATTTCTGTTACTTACCATCTAGTTGGAGGTTCAAAATTGATATTCAGAAAACAACACAAGGAGTATATGGCTTAGTATTTCATTCATTCATTTGACAGATATTTATGGAGTGCCTGCCTGTTTTGTACCAGACTATGTTTTAGGTGCTGGGGAAAAGCATCAAGCAGACAAGTTCCCACCCGTAAGGAAATTATGTTCTAGTATGTGTGTTTATCAAGAGGAATGCAGGGGAAATTCAGTCAATAAACATATTTCCAAGTAAGTCTATAACATGCCAGTTGATGATAAGCGTGATAACAAACAAAATGCAGTATACACGAGATGAGTGCCGGGGTGTGCTCTTGTAGGCATCTATTTATACATGCTGGTCCCCTCAGAGAGGGTGGCTTTTGAGCAGAGACCAGGAAGGTAGAAGAATGAGTCAAAGGGCTGTGTGGGGAAGGCTGCTCTAAGTAGAGGGCACAGGACGTGGGAAGCCCTGAGCTGGAGCAGACCCAGCGTAGTCAAGTGTGCACCTGGGCCAATGTGCCTCGTAGGTCAAGGTCAAGAAGTGCCTCGTAGGCCTTGATAAGGACATTCTTGAGTTTCACACTGAGTGTGCTGAGAAGCCAGTAGAGGGCTTTGACAGAAAATACATGGTCTGACCAGTTTAAAAAGGTCACCTTGGCTGCTCTTTGAAGAACAGACTGTATAAGGGAAGGCAGAAGTCGGGAGTCCAGTTAAGATGAGTACAGTAGCCATGGAGATTAAAAACAGAGGACTGGGGGCAATATGGGAGCCAGAGATGAAGAGAGTGAAACAATTTCAGCACAATAACTGGCCAGTGAGGATAATGACCTTAAACGTATGTAATACTAGAAAAGTAGGAAAACTAAAAACAACTGTTTTGTGAGAAAATGTTTTCTACTGGTATTATTACTAAAGCTCAAATTCCTTTAGAGAGGAGTTAACAACTCCTCGTTCCTGTCACATCTGACCTTTTTACTTCCTCGTGCAGCTGCTTTTTGGTCCAGTGAGGAACTTTGATGGAGCCATATAAGAGGAGGTGCTCCTTGGTAGTGAGGTAACTGAACAAGACATCATGCTGCATGCAGACCCCCATGTTCTTCCGCACAGTGTGTAGGTCTGTTTTGATATCTTTGCCATAAACAAAGATGGTACCCGCTGAGGCCCCAAACAGCCCGGTCAACATGGAGCTGGAAGTGAAGAAATGATAAATTAGGTGTGAACCAAAGCTCTGAGCTAGATTTTAGGACTAAATATATCTCAGTTGTTAGGGAAAAAAAAGTTATAGTGTATCTCCCCAGGCCAGATCAAACTATCAAAGAAAATGGCATGAATTAGGAATAAAAAAAATTACTTTTACGCTTCTAATAATTTAGAGTGTTATGGGAACACTTCATGATGGTGGTGGTGGTGGTGGTGGTAATAATAAGAGACACAGTCATGCTCTTTAGTTGCAAGTGTACTCTCTCCCTGAGCAAACTCAGCGCACTTTCCTGGCATCAGTATTTATAGGCCATTGAGTGTCAAATTTGTATGTCAGTACAGATCTCTTCATTTAGTTCCAGGCTTGCTCTATACATCCAACTAACAACGTGACTTCTCCATGATGTCTTACAGGGCACTCAAACTCAACATGTTTAAAACTTAACTCGTAATCTTTGTCCTCAAACCCATGCCCTCACTGAGTTACCTCTTTCACCATATGATAACTCTGTCTACTAGTTTCACAAATTTTTGCATCCTGTTCCGATCTTCTTAGTCTCCTAACTCCACTCACTACCTCTCCATTTCCCAGCCAACATCATAGTACAAGCCAACACAACCATTTGCCTACCAACTGCTATAGGCTCCTAATTCTGTTGCCCACATGAACTTCGATCATCTTCGGTCCCTTACTCTACACTTTCAGATGGTTAGTAAACTGGGCTGCTCTTTACTACCCATTGTCTCCACTAAATGTAAGCTCATGAGGTCAGGGAAAGGACTTGTTTTCTCACCACTCTCTGAACATAACCAGATATGATAGACCTTAAATGACTATTGTAGATTAAATAGGGAATCAATATATGCAATTCTTCCCACTAAAAACAAATTAAATCAAGTCATACACTTCATTCTTTACGAAGAAGACTAAAATGGCAACTTTCTCAGCCAAAATTATAATCCCTTCAGGAGCTTTCTCAATCCCTTTTCTTCATTGGCCTCTTATTGCCTATTAGGAATCTTAACTTTTAAGCATTATGTTCTCACCAGAAAATCAACTCTGAATTGAAACAGGTCATATAAATAAGAGCAGCTGCATGATCACTCATTTCATAACCTTCCTTTGTCCCCTTTTTATTTCCAAAACACTAATGTGTATATGTTTTGGCAGTCATTGAACTTACTCATGATGATAGTAAATAACATATCTGGCAACGGACACTTTTTCTCAAATAAGGGCTACAGCAGCAACAGCATCTTACAGCTGACTCAGAGCTAAGCCTTGTGGAGCACTGGAGTGAGTCTCAGAAAACAAGTTCAAAAGAATGTCACTTTAGAAACATATGAATCTCTTCTCCATTAGGACACAGGAAAATGCTAGTTAAGTAAAGAGAGAGAAAGAACAGCCCATGTACCACATGCGGCCTTTTTGATCTATATCTGATAGTTGGTGATTCTTTTCTTTCTTCATGAATCAAGGCAAGGGTTCCCTGTAATAGAGCAGTTGGGGCTGAGTGTGTTTATACCAGGGTGTATAAACCCAAATTGGACACGGGCCAAGATAAAAATGCAAATAAATGAAACAAACTGAGTGTGTCAGGCAGTAAAGATTGGTGCGGACCAGGGATAAACCAGAAAACAGATACTCCCTTTGAGAACAGCCACCATTAAGCCCCAACCAACTGCCCCTACCTAAGCCTGTGGACTCAGATGTTGCCAGAACTTCCTATTATCTCAGAGATGCCAGGAATATTTGTTTTTATTAGAAAATTCCCCCATTGTTAAATACTGTACTGAAATTAAAAATTTTAAGTACTGGGGGCAGTACTAGGTGGGTCTGATCTGGCCTTTGAGCTCATAGTTTGGGATCTCTGATTTACACTCCATTCTACAGTATACAAGTTAAGCTATCTTAATCCATCTAGAAGAGGTAATAACTGTTTTTTATGAAAGAGGTGAGGAAATATTAAGTACTATGCTCCCATGACACTGAATGTTGAAAGTAACATACATGGTAGTTGTTTTCCCGGCTCCATTGGGCCCCAGCAATGAAGTAATATGCCCTTCATAAAAGTTCAAATTGAGGTTATCAACAGCAATTTTTGATCCATAGATCTTTGTGACCCCATGCAGGGCAACCCCAACGGTAAGATCTTTAGGTTCAGGCTCAATGTTGGAGGGAAACGTATATTCAGGACCTGGAGAGAAATCAAGACAAGAGTTGTAAGCTCACAAGGAGGGAAAATGCAGCTAGAGTTAGATTTTTCCTTAATTAAAAATTGAAGATTATAAAAATACAAGCCTCAAAGTAAAATGTAACTCCAGAAACAAATGATCTATTATAGTCTTCAGCCTTCTCACTTGTTTAAAAAATGAATGAGGGTGTGATACCACACTCCAAGGTTTATATTGCCCTTCTCTGTCAGACAAAGTAGTCCCAGAATATAGTATCATAATAATGAATTCTCCATTATTCAACAGATCTCAAATATTCTAAATATAATTTTAAGGCTTGGTCCTCCAATTGGACAGGATGACACCCACTTATTGAATAAATATCTGTAAGGTGTGATTTTACAGTGACGAGACTCACTCAGATCTGTGGTTTATAGAATCATTAATTACTCTCTGCATCTCCTTCAGGCATCACAAAAGGACCACTTACATGGGTCATCCTTAGTTTGCAAGACGACACTGCTCACCCAATGTCAGTAAGACATGAGCCTTAAAGTGTTCGTTCAGTGTTGGTGATGGGTTATGCTAAATTATCCATACTTGTTACTTGGTTATTCCTTATGACTAGCGACAGATGGCTGGAGTTAGAGGTGCAGACTGGGGCCAAGGAACAAAATTTTTCTCTGTGTGACTCTAACTGGACCACAAAGGGATCTCCAATCTTGGCCTAATTAGCACCATATGCTAACCAACTGAGATAATGAACCCAGAAAAAGCCACAGTTTAATCTCCCTAAGAGTCCAAACACATATGTGTAGACATATTCATCCATGACTAAAAGGATGATAACTCTGCCATTTAGAAAGACATAATTAAAATCACTAGTCATGTAAATTTTATATCACTTCTCTATAGTGATGTAAGTTGTTGACCTACTTGTCTTACTGGCAGATGGGTTGGTGTTCTGCATCATGATATTAGTAAACATGAGGCCGTTGCTTTTCTCATGCTTCACTTCTGCACATCCCAATCGCTCCCTCCAATAGGAAGGAAGGATTGGAAAATACCATGGAGCTGCCATACCATAGGTACCTGTAAGAACAGTGTATTAGGAAAAAAATACTGATTGTTAACATTAAGCATCAGAAGCTAAAAAACAGAGCACTTACTATATTGTGTTCAGGAAGTATTTTTACTTTTTGATACTCTATAAAACTAATAACAGGTGGTCTCTGTTTCCAAAGTAAAGTGAAAAATATAAACTTTTAAAATTCTTTTTTAAATAGCTTCATTAGGTATAATTATATACTATGAAAGTTACTCATTTTAAGCACAGGGTTGGATGATTTTTAGTAAATATATAAAGTTGTACAAACATAACCACAAGCCAAACATTCCAATAACTCCAAAAAGCTCCCCATGCCCTTTGCAGATAATCCCTGCTCTCACCTAAATTCACAATCACTTATCTGCTTCTGTTTCTACATATTTCTCTTCCATAGAAATTTTATACAACTGGCACAGAATATTAGTCTTTTATTCACTCACAGCATCAAAAAATGCACACATATAAATAGGGCTTAATGGAAAAACTCCTAAGCATGTTAGAAGTTTTAGCCACTTGAGACCTAGGAGGGGAACCCAACTAGTCTTGTTCCATTAGAATCTGATAAATTCTCTTTAGAATTAGGAGATTTGATTTTTGCCTTATAACATTGTACTCCCCTCAAAAACAAACAAAACACTGTACTCCCATTTGGAAAGACTGGACTCCATGCTTCTTAATTCATCCCATCCTTTAAAGGAACAACAGAGAAAAAAACTCAACAGTACATTATCTCATCCTGGACATTTCTGGTTAGTTTTGGGATTTAAGTATTTCTTTTGGAAATGATATATGGCAAATCAAATATTAAAAATATATATATATATTAGCAGATTTATAATGATGGCAACCATAGAAATCATATATCTGTAGGAAGCATGTTCATACCTGGGAAAACATTCCTGACATACCAAGCAATAAGGAAATAAATGAAAGAATCAGCTAGGATTAGACAGCATAGCCAGCCAAACGAAGTGGTATCATCCTGAACTGGGGAACTGTACATATTCTCCCACTGAAGACCTACGAAGTGAACACATATATTTACTTTTCTGTGAGATGTGTTGCAGGTGTGAAAGATGAAATATAATTTTAAAGAAAGTGAACCTACCAATGCCCTGCTCCTCATATCGTGCAATGTATTGACTCGCATAACTGAAAGCTGTTGGGGACAGAAGGCTCTGTGAAGAAAATCGACAGCAATGACAGTTCTTGTAGATTCTGTACATTTCACCCAGAGGAATCTTAACATACTGTAAACGCTGGGCATTTATATAGATTAAATTGACACTAACTCTCCAAGCATATTTAAAAATACAGAAGCTCCTCATCAAACATGCTACATCTCTGAAAGAAGAGGAGATGAAGTTGCAGAAAACAAAAGCAGGAAATTGGTAACTTGGACAATATTTGGCAAAAATTCTGTATATCTATAAATTTATTAAATGTTCCTCAGCAATTTATAAAATCAGTAATTATAGGGCATTGCAGTGTTAAGACCAACAAATGAAATGTTCACGGCTAGAAGATGCTTTTACTTCGTGGATTGACTTCAAGTAATAGAAGTATTATGAATGAAAATATAAGGAAATGTCAATTGACTGAATACTTATAAGGCAACAAATTAAAAATTTAAATATCATTTAAACCGAAGGTAGTCGTGTCAAATGAAAGTTATTTATCACTTTTCATTTCCATAAACAGCACAGTTTTAATATGACTCTCAGACCTAACGATGAGCTTTACTTCTGCTTTCCAAATTTCAGTCAGTAATCTTAGTATTTTCATTAAAATTCTTAAATTAATTTAGTATTTTGAATTGAAAAAGTAGAAAAGAATTAAAAATTGATTATATGCTGTCAGTGACCTGTCTTTATGCTTGTATGTTATACTGTATGTCATACTGTATGTCATAAAAACCATGAGACTTATTCATATATGAGAATAATGCCAATGATATAGGTGCTAAGATATTTAAAGAATTGGGCCAGAGAGAAGTCAGAATTCTTGACAGTCTTCAAAACTTGATGTATTTCTTTTTGTTGTTATTGTTAAATGGAAGTACTTGGGATTGAATGCAGCACCTCATGCACGCTAAGCATGCATTCTATGAGTGAGCTATACCTCAACCCACCCCCCTAAGAATTATTTCTTAACAGCATCGCACATTATGGCTTTAGAAACTGTGAGTGAAAGTTTTCTTTTCATAGACTTATGCTTGTTTAGTAGACGATGATGTAGGAAGAATCGACTCTCGTTAGGACAGTTAAGCACACCTTGCAATCATTGACCTTTTAAATTTAGGTAAGTGTACTTTCAGTCTGAGGGACTAAGCACACAAAAAGGTCCATCCTTTTCACACGCTGACCATTCAGCTGTGACAGCTGACTTACCATGAATACTTTTATTACATAGCTCAACTCATCCTCAACTGTAACCAGAACAATAAATGGAAAAAAGGCAATGATGTAGATGAGGCTTCCAATCAGAGCTGCAATGTTGGTGTTGTTGAAGAAGACACTGATCAGATAGCTCATGGAAATAACTGAGAAGCTATAGTCCGAAAAGTACAGGAACAAGATGAACCCATCTGTTTTAGGAAGAATATTGCCAAACTTGAGAATAATGATGAGGAGGATGATGGTGACCAGCAGAAATCCAACACACTCTATAAGCCAGGCAAAAAAGTGACTGCAGGAATTCACACCCATCATCTTCATGTACTGTAAAACGGGAAAGGTGTTAGCTGCTTCTTCAGCAAATATTCTCTCAAATAACAATTATTGCTGTACCATTCCAAATGTCCATGAGACTCTTCATATACACGAAACTAGGCACTTTAATGATTTACTTAAGTCTAGTATTTGTCCATGCCTGCTACGTGAAATTAATATGACCATTTATTCCAGCCCACCTTAGACTGTATGCTCCCAGAGTGACTCAATATAATGAATGATTTGGATGGCGAGGTTTGTTTTGTTTTTTGACACTTTCATTTTATCACTGGTATCTGAGTGATATCTCCAGATTAAACAAGTTTAGAATAGATCATCAAAATTTATGGTATCCTCTGCAGAATTTTACAACATGAATTTGACATTTGTGTAGGCATGAATATTTCAAGCTGGTGAAAACCCATGGTTTACTTCAAATTCATTGTAGGAACTGAGATAATAAAACTCTATATTTTTCACTAAACATTAGTGAACAACACAATCAATATTCATATTCCTGAGAGAAACAGAATAGACCTGATTCTTAAGAATTTAATACATGAAAACTTTGAAGAGAGACTTTCTGCCTTCTGGCACAACTTCCCCATCCTTAAAATCGCTGACAGGCGAGGTCAGGTTTGTCATCTTTGTTTTCCAACAAAATGTCCATGAACCCTAAATGAATGCATGTATCTCAGATAATCTACACTTCTCTCTCAATTGATGTTCTTTAATAACTCAGTGATATCCCTAAAGGCCAAGGCACTTCACCAAGATAGAAAAATAGACCAGCATGAGGTGTTTGTGGATTAATTCAAAAGGATTCTGATCTTAAAAAAAGACAAATAAACTTATTTACAAAACAGAAACAGACTCACAGACATA